ATCTCGTAAGGGACCCAAAATTGACAATTAACTTGTGGGTTTTTCGTTTATGAGAAGGGTTTCAAGGCTACCAATAAATCAGATGTATGAGATATGTCCATTCTATTTCATGTAAGATGATAAAGGACTGCTGATTGCATTTTGCTTCAATGATTTGAGTATACCTTACAGTTCCGTCGAATTTCACATATCCTTGTTTCCCAAAAGGTACTGTCATCCAGCAGGAGTCGAAACATGACAGGGCAGCGTATAATCTCGACACGTTAATCACTACGCGACATTGCCACGAGTTCCGTTGAATCAGGATGCAGATGTGAATTTTAGGGAAGGCAAGGTATTTTACCATATCACATTCTTTGTTAAGACTTAGGCGAAGTCGAAATGGCCGTCCATCCTGGATGAGAATACCATTTTGGAAGCAAGGATATGTGAAATTCGATGTAACTGTAATGTCTGCATATAGCATTGTTAGAAAATCCAATTACCAGTTCCTTCTTTTGAACGAAAAATAAGTAATGTATAGAAGTTGTAGTCAATTGTTATAGTAAATAAAACCTTCCTTCATCGACAATCTCATAACATAAGAGTAAATAGGAAATAGAAAAAGGCCTGGCCTGACTAAATTCACATTCGCCTTGTGACCCAAGAGCTCTCGTGGCGTAGTGGTTAAGGTATGGAGATTGAAAACTTCATTTTGATGGCTCGAGTACCGCTGGGGATGCTGATAAAACTTAGGCGAGGTCGAATCTGCAATCCACTTCAGCTTGGATGAGAATACCTTTTGAGAACCAAAGATTTACGAAATTCGATGGAAATGCAAGGTCTACTCATATAATTGTGGGAAAATGCACTCAACAATTCTTCTTCACATTAAACAAAATAGGGGAATATATTTCATATAACTTATGAGTGTTGCATGCACGCAACGCACACGCATCCACGAAGCTAAAATGAGCCCCAGCATTACAGAATCATTCGCTAGTTTATTTACACACAAAAAAGTTGTGATCACATCCGCTCCCCTTCCTGAATCACGTTGACTCGCTTAGATGCATGTAGAGCAAGCATAAACAGCCAAAAAATCATGAAATGCTTCAGTGAGATCTCAAAGTAAGTGAGTGGGACCTCAGACGCCCACCCTTCTTGCTTAGTGTTTTTCGGTGGTTTTTGGCTCTGGCGATTTCTGTCACATGATGGACGAAAGCTCAGCACGGAGTCATCAGGATCGTAGGACGGTGAGCAGAGGTCTTCTTCGAACTATCCATCAGCCACAAATCCAAGGCAACCCTGCTTCGGTATTCGGATGGGGTCAACTTACCCCTTCATTCGACACGCCCTTTCAGACGAAATAAAGGTATGCCAGTATCAAACCTATCTTGTATTTGCTATTTAAATAAACTAATTACTTATATCAGATTCATCATATGTATTTAACCTATTTCGTTTAAGGTGATGAAGAAGTGGTAGTTGAATTTCCCCACAATAAGATGAGTAGCACTGACGTTTTGCTTCCATTTCACATAGCCTTGCTTTGCAAAAAGGTTTTCTCATTCAGGGTGGACTGGAGCTTCGACCTCGCATTGGTCTTATCAATACCACCGGCGGAAATCGAACCATGACAATGCAGCGTATCATCTCGACACGTTAACCCCTCGGCCACATTGCCTCGAGTGCCGTTGGGTGACAGGGCAAATGTGAATTTCAAGGAATGTCAGGCCTTTTTCGTATCATATTTTTTAGTAGGTTCGTCTATAAAGAAAGCTATACTTTCATTTATTCATTTATTTTATATATTACTTATATTCAAATTGGGTAGGTTAGAATTTTTGATGAGCCTCAGGCGAGGTCGAACCTGCAGACATTTCTGATTGGGAATATCTTTTGGAAGACGAGAGGGAATGGAATTTACTTGTATTATGAGGTCTATCCATCTTATTGTGGGCGAACTCAATTATCAGTCATTAATTATCCTTAACATACTAGGATGTGTCATGTTCTCATTGGTTTCATGCTTCAATCTAACTCAACTTCTCTGCTAAGAATACACCCTCGATTACGCAATTCCCTCATTCCCCTCCTTGGATTGGTAAACCCTATCGATCTTTGAGGGATGTTATGGTACCTTGTAATTACTGAGGGTTGTAACCTTAGACTTTTACAAGTAAATATTGACCCACATACACATAAACATCTAAATAACTAGATGGACCAAATTATTTTAAAGCCCTCTAGATTATTCTCTTAGTTTTCAGTTCTTTTATGGATTTGCGAATATATTACAAATATTTAATCAAAACAAATCAATCTTATTCACTTAGTAACACCATAAAACTTTTCCCATAATGACTCGCTGCTCTGACGATTTCTGCAAAATGGAATGAATTACGAGAGCCCAGCCCGTGTTTACCTTAACCTAACGAGGATATCTTGTGAGCTGTGTCAACCGGAAAGACTAGAGAGCAACCGCAATCATTTATCTTCATTTGGAATGATCGCCCGTAGGATTTCTTAATCAGACCGTTTCATACGGAATGAATATGATGATAACAATACTTTATCCGATGAATCATCGATGTCAACTTTACCCTTTGTGAAAATAAGCTTGAAGTAGAAGTGATTTGCCTCATTACGTTGTAATAAGTAGTAGGTAGAATTGAAATCTGCATTGCTTAAGGATATTGGGTAATTTTTAGTAAATGACAATTCCCATTTCGTAAAGTATATTGTCTTACTTTGAAGATCTCTGCCATATGACAAGGTCGATAGATGATGTCCATTATATGTCTACGAAAGCTCTGCCCATTTTCACCCGAAACGGGGGAGGATGCCTCGTGGATTACGTCAAGCGGCCAATCGGCTGCAGTCCGACGGGTTTCAGCCGTCGTCTCCTGGTTCGTTCAACCGATGAATCTCTTCTCCATACACTTTCATACGAAATGGATGCCTTCCAAGCAAGCGGAAGCTGGGGAGTAGTGTTTTGACGGGGCCACGTAACGAGTTGCCCTCACTGAGCCTCATCACCATGGCTACGTCGTCTGGCTACGAGGCCTAACGACGCAGGTTCATCTGCCCCAGGAGACTAGACAAGATGCCCTTCTTTTCTTGGCCCCTGGCATCGCCAACCGTCATCAGCCGTCGCCAGCTGTCGTCATTCGTCACTTGTCACTTGACCAACGTCACTTGCTTATTCTCTTTTCTGCCATGGTTACCGATACAAACGACTCGGAGGCCCGGCCAACAACCATTTGGAGTGGTCATGAGCAAACGCTGCTGGCAGTAGCGGAAATGACGACCCGACGAGGCAACGTCCAGAGGGGCTGACTGACAACAACACCTAAATTCGCCAGCCCAGTCGGTCGTCAGGCCTGATCCGACTGCGCCTACCAGCTTTTTGATAACAGATTGTGTATGTGTGCGTGTGTGTGTGTAAGTCTCCGTGTGCATATTCGTATGTTGGTGTGTTTGTGTGAAAGCGATCGTGTCCACTGGACACGGACTCACTTGTACTCCACCCTCTATTGTATCGTTATTCCCTTTTACTCTAATACCAGCTATTAATTGTAGCCTGTAAATATTTTATGACTTTTTTTTAGATTGCACGCCTCATATCTTTGGCATCGTTTAAGCCCCTTAAAATATCTAAGCGATAGCTGCTTTACGGGATTTTTAGGTCAAATGATTACTATTTTTCGTTTATAATTAGAGTTTCGAGACTACCCTTAAATCTATTATATGAGATATTCCCTCTATTTCGTTTGAGCTGATGAAGCACCAGTAGTTGAATTTTCCCACAATGAAATAAGTAAAGCTGGCGTTTCCGTTGAATTTCACATAGCCTTGCTTTCCGAAAAGGTGTTATCATCCAGGCAGGAGAGGACTTCAGTTTGATCTTGCCTTGTTCTTATCAACACCACTAAACCACATGTCGAGATCACACGCTACACTGTCATGGTTCGAATTCCGCTGGGGGTTTCGATAAGACCGAAGCGAGGTCGAAACTGCCGTCCACTTTTGCCTGGATGAAACACCTTTTGGGAAAGCAGGGTTGTCTGGAATTCAGTGGAAACGCATATCATTGCAGAAAAATCCAACTACTAGTATTTCATCGCCTCGAAATAGGACGGATACATCTCATACAAATGATTGCTATTTTCCTTGGAACCAGGTACTCCAGTGTCGCTTTATGTGATTTTATGACTGATAGTCGCGTTCTTCTCATCAACGCTTTCCACTCAGCTTCATAGCTATGGTGCTAGTTGGTTGGCCAGATGTCTCGCAAATCATTTTCTAGTTAAAGTGTCGATGATGCGTACACACAGTTGCCGTTTCCATCGGGGAAATGTCGTGGTTTCAATGCAGCATTGCCGATTCAATTGTCAACTACCTCTTCTTGACTCTGGTTCGGTTACCTGAGAAGCCTAAGTTTATATTCTACAAAATCTGTATTCACTCTGGGCCTCAAAATGTGATAGGGACTGATAGTCGTATGTTCCCACTATCATATGACTCGGCCTCGCGATGCCATTACATCTTGCTTGGTCTTGTCTCCTATAAGATTTCCTCATCCAGGTTGGGTTGTAGTCATGAATTCTTCTGTACCTCATCTACTACTACTTACAACGAATATAAGTTACTTGATTTATAAGTATGGCAAAATACGGGTTTATTTTCAAGAAAATTGTGTTTTGAGACTAACAGCAATTATCGGGTAAGGACTTAGTCACCTTAAGTTGCTAAATTGTTTTTAGGACTGGTAGATGAGCTTTCCTACTATAATATTAGTTGGCTTCGCAACGCCATTAAAGGTGGCCTGTTAGAATCCGACTTATTTCTTATACCTAATTTTGCATTGTTAGTGCTTAATCTAGGCGCTGTTAAAGGAGTAGAGTTGATGTATGATAAGAATATGAATTTGGTCATAGCTGTTTTCTTATATAAAATAAACTACCGTTTAGTACCGCTATTATGAAGCGCCGCGTGTATGCATTATTCATCAGTCGTTTTGTTATGCTAGAGCCCAAATCAGACTACAAGCTGATCAAGCTTCCTCCTCTTATTTTCCTTCTCCCTACTTCTATCCAATAGCTAGAAGAAGTTATTGCCTAATTTTTTACATTGTATATACGAAGAAAATGCGGGTTTCAAAGCATCTCCTTAGATAAGATAGTTGTGAAGACTTTCATTTTGTATGGAAGTACATGCTGAAGAGACTCGTAGGTCAATTTCTTTAGAATACATCGGCTGATTCGAGCTGTTCTGCAGCAGTTTGACCTTAATACGACGTATTTTGGTGAGATTGAGCTACAAATCTCTTCATAATATACTTCCATATGAATGAAAGTATTCACACTTATTTCCCACACACGTCCCTCCTATTCGTGATGCTGTTTGTCCTGTTAACTTTTAGTGACTCTTACTCTTTTACTCAGTAGAGAAGTCTACATATTCTACAAAACCTTTGGTTCTTTGACCCTATATTCAACCCCACCTCGAATTGCCGGATCCATACCAGCTTGTAAGCAGCTTTGGTTTCGGATTAGCTCTTCTCTATGGGTAGAGAAGTCTCGCCAACATAATCCCTAGCGCATAATCACAAAGTCTTATAGCAACCTTTATGTTGCATCTCTTAAGCAACCTTCACATAATTCTGCATGAATGTATTATGGGAAAGCATCAAGTATCCGGACAAAGAGACACGAGTCATTTCATGGGACGCAAGGTCAATTTTAATGCTCAAGATCACATGGCTATCTAAGGGGCATCAAAAGTAATCGTCCCATTGCTTTAGAAGGTAGGATAAATTAAACATTGATTTCTTGCTTGTGTCGGGTGAGCAGTAAAGCATAAATGACGATTATGTCGTGCGTTGATTAGCACATTTTTTGAGAAAAAACCATCGTAAAAAGCCAAGCAAAGAAGTCTAATTAACGCCTATCCTGTGAACATGCCTACCAGATTTTAAGAATATCTCATGATCTATCCGTCTTAAAAGGATCTGCATTTCGATTCAAATCTACTTATCTGACTAGTCATTCCTTGAATTATAAATTGCCTCCCAAAATTGTTCTCTCATCTAGACTTGACTGCGGTTTCAACATGGCCTAGGTCCTATTCGAATCACCGACGGGATTCGATTCCGGATCTTGAGCATCATGGTAACGTTGCCACGCGTGCCAGTGGGTCACAGGGCAAGGGTAACGAACAACTTTTAGCGAATAAAGCTAAGCGAAATTCGTTTGTGCCGTTAGGCCTGCTCAAATAACTGTGAGAAAAACTCCACTATTAGGCTCAAAGTTAATCCATACGACCAAGGGTGTCTAAGATATGGAGACCAAGATGATGTGGCCTCTTGTATGGTCACAGTCTCCTTTCCATTAATAGAAGTGGGTTGACCTCGTTTTCGCAACTTGGTCTTGTTGTCAGGGCGACTTAGTAGAACGCACCTAG